AATCTTTTACTTGTGCTGTAGTATATCTTATTGTTATTAAAAATTCTGTCAACTTTATTGACATACACAGTGGTTTTCTCCCTCAATGCTACATTTCTGTTTGATGTCTTAGAATAATGTTCTTACAATTTCTTTTATTTTACAAATATTAATACCTTGGATATCCAAATAGGTAAAACTTTGTAGGCTAAGATTCAGTATCTCTACTAACCTTAATAAGTCAGCAGAACAGGAAACATTATTTACATATTTATTTATGTAGACTGTTATTTAACTAGGAGAAAAAGCCATAGATTGATTCACAGAAGTTTCTGTTACCAGCCAATTATGGAGGTTTCCAAGCATTTATTTCTTACCTTGGAGAGTAACTGGTAACTCATGTCAAAGCACTGATTTACACTGGGACATAGCTCTGTTTTTTGTCTTTGCTTTTCCTATGCACACTAACCATACAAGCAATTGCTCAACACCTTGATATTGTTAGAGTGAACCTAAAATGCTGTGGGACTGTTAAATTTACCTTGAGTGCTACTGGTTAGGCTCTAGAGCTCAGAAATGTTTATGTACCTGCTTTTAAATAAATGGTTTCTCAATGTGATCACCAAGGATATTGTTTCCTTGTCTTCATCCTTAAGTATAAACTTTCATCTTGTGATTTATTGTTTGTTTTCTGGAAATATGAAATTTTCAGAGTAAGGGTCATTTGAACTTTTTGCCATTCTCTGAAGTACCATGCATTTTATGGTGAATTTTCACAGACTTTCATGAAACTGTCACATTCTCATGTTGCCAAGTTAAGATGCTGATGTGAGAAACTTGCATTGTTGGGAAAAGAGCATAATAAATTAACACTGGGAACTTTGACTGAATGATGTCACTTTTACCTAATTACACCAGACCCTGAATTGTGGAAATAAATCCTAGCTTAAAAGATAACCCAAATAAGGGGCTGGGGATTTAGCTCAGCGGCATAAGCGCCTGCTTTGTAAGCAGGCAGGCGGTCGTGAGTTTGATCCCTGGTACTGATTAAAAAAAAAAAAAAAAGAAAAAGAAAAAGATAACCCAAATAAAATACTGACTTCTCCCACTATCAGCTTTTCTGAGGGGAAGAAAGATCCACCCTTACATCTACCGTGAAACTGAAAAATCATGAATTGCCAGCTAGGAATGCACATTAGTTAAAGTGTCATAAATTTTGACCTACTAACTAGACTCGAAAGAGTAAATGAGCCATTTGTCCAGGAGCAAAGCTTCTGCAGGATGTGTGCTGCAGGTAAATATCTCGTCCTGCTCACAGGATGGAGGCCTTTGGGACAGGTAGATTTGCTGCTGCTTCAGAAATGCCAGCAATTCTGTTTTGCTTTGACTTATGTTTATTGTAGTTATAGAGAATATAAGTTACTTCACACAGTTTTAAGTGTCTTTTTGGTATCACTCTTTCATATTGCTGTTGCTTTTAACTTTTAAATCTTTCATTTGCATCCCATAGACTCTTCAAGTGTTTATTTTTTTTGTGGCAAAAGATACATGACATAAAATTCACCATTTTCAGTGAAGAGTTCAGAAGCATTAAGTACATTTACCTTACTGTGCAGGCATCATGATTATCACAGGAATATTTTTTACCAAACAGAAGCTCTTTCCCCATTAAAAAATAACTTGTCATGTCTCCCTCCCCCCAGGCTTTCAATGTCTTTCCTGCTTTCTGTATCCATAAATTTGCCTAGTCTCATATATATAGAAACATGTAATATGTGTCCCTTTGTAGCTGGTTTATTTCACTTCGTCCATGTTGTGTAATATATGTTAGAATGATCTTCTTTTCTAAAGTTAAGTAATATTCATATATATATATATATATAATATATATGACATATTTTGTTTATCTGTTCAGTGATCTATGAACATCTGAGTTATTTCCACCTTTTGGTTATTAATAATGCTGCTATGAAGTTGGTTTAAATGTTGAAACTGCCTTTACAAGGAAGAAGAACTAAGTTTAGAACTGATTGTGGAGATGGGAAGATGGAAAATGTATCTGTGAAAGGGAGTAGAGGGAAAAGATTTTTTTAAAAAGGAAGACAGAAAACTGAGATAAGAAAAGCAAAAGCATTTCAAAATCAGCAAAGGGATACATGCTAATAATTTTTGATATTTTTAAGAATGGATTATAGTATGTGTAATTCCTACCTTTGAGAGTTTTTTTTTACTCCGTTTTAAAGATAGGTTTTTCTAGAAACACGTGTGCTAAATTATTTTTTGCTCTTTAACATAAAACAACAACCACTGTGCTTTTTTAAGCAGTCAGGCATTCTAGGTAATGAACTCTTAACCAGTTACTTTCTGATATGAAATAGTAATCAAACTATATCTAAATATATAGTATCAATACATATAATTCTTCCATTAAATTCCTAGTGAATCACAAGTTCCTTTATTTGCAAGTATTTTATCTTTCCTCTTTTTAGTGGGGGTTCCCAAGTACCTATCACTGAGTGCATGTTTGATCCTTCTAGATAGGACTCAGAAAGTAAATTGAGTCCAAATCTTGATTGAGTCCTTCTGGGTTGAATAAATGTGTATACTTATTTAATAACTTTTTAAAAATCATCTTATTCCTTTTTCAGGAAAAAAGACATTGGCTGGAAGGTATATAAGCAAAATACTTACAGTTATCAGATGTGACCCTAACCTACCTTGTTCATAGTGCATTTTTCCATTTTAAAATACTTTACAAATAAAGACACAGAACACAATGTATCAAATAACTGCTACTACAGTCACAATATTAATTATAAAAAATATACTTTTTGTATATTGTATTCAAAGATTAAAAATGTTACAGGAGAGATGTTTTACTTACACCATCATTAAAGCGTTTCTGAAATCACATTTTCTCAATGGTAACATAGCTATAGTTCCAACTATGGCACGCTTCAAAGTGATGATTTAAACTACTTAACAATTTACTCAGAGCATTACACAGGCTACGCGTTTGTTTATGTGCTGACTGTACCTAGAGTCGCTTGAGCAGGCATCATCTTGCATTGAATAAATTTGATAAAATTATCATTTTTATATTTCCTGTTATATTCTTATAAAAATTAGCAAAAATATGCAATATTTGATCATCCTGTGTTTAAATAATTGGACTGATAGGTGGTTAAATATTCTTTCCCAGGAAACCTGATAAATTATTTGCTGTTTTGCAAATTGATTTGTGGTTGAGCAAAAATATTCCTAATATATTTTTGTAACTTTTCTGCTGTGCAGAGGAAAATATAAAATGCCCAGTTTGATAAGTGGAATGCAGCTGAAACCAGCACTGAAAATCCCACTAAAATGTGTTAGTTAAGACAGTAGTTTTAACCTTGACTGCATAAAAGTATCCTGGGCATCAGCATTTTAAAAAAAACTTATCGAAGCAAACCCAAGTCAAGGTTGAACAGCACTGACCAAGATACACAGGAAAGAGAAATGAGTTAGGAAAGTATTATGGTGGTCCAAATGAGAAATAAAACTTCAGTGAGGAAATTGGCAGTGAGCTATCCAGAGGTACAAACAACCAGACTTCTTTCCCCAGAGGAATCGGCTGGAATGAGTGGAGCTGGGCCTAGAATCTGTCTTCTGTTTAATAAGTCTGGTTATTTTTCTTGGATCTTCAAGGATCTTTATAAGTATAGCTTGGAGCAAAGATGCCATGGTAGCATTGATGATTTTGCCTTTGAGATCAGTTGAAATTGCCATTGAAGAGAACTGGATAGAAATCGCCTGGGGATACCTGCCTTTGTGGGTAGGAGAAAGTTAAAAGCAAAACAAAAGGAAAACCTGTGTAGAATCAATTGACTGTGGTGTCAGAACCTAAGGACTGAGAATTTCCTGCTAGGATTCATCTTTATCTCGAGAGCAATTTGGAACAAATATGTGATATGAAATTGTATGGAATTTCAAAGATATTTTCTAAAGTATATGTTTATTAGTTGTCTTCAAAGCTATACTTTATAAAGATACTTGAAACTCCAAGAAAAATAACCAGACTTACTAAACAGAAAAGAAGTTCTAGGCCCAGCTCCACTGGTTCCAACCAGTTACTCTGGGGTTAGTCATTCCCCAACAGCTTGCTTCTTACTCTGTTTAGTGGAGATGAACTTGCCTTGCCCGCTTGCGTGCACAGGTCCTAAGTTACACAGCAAACTTGAAAATACCATGGTGTAATAGATTAGAGGTAATAAACTTTGTGCTGCTGTTTCACAAGTACATTAGTATTGAAATATTTTGGAGGATTCATATTAACAAAGAGGGAAAACAAAGCTATGAAGTCCTTCCCAGGACTCCCTTTTTCACGGATCTCCCCATCCCACAAAGAATGTGGGACAGGGAAATATATAATCCTAAATGCAAATTTTCTATGATGCAGGAATTGTATCACTAATGCATTCATGTTTAACTCAGTTCTTGGAACCTAGTGATCTCTCCTAAATTGTCTTTGAAAGTTGATGAAAAATTAACATACAAGATAAAAATTCATATGAACAGAATGCTTGGGGTAGTTTTGAGAAATGATTCAAAACCTGGCACATTACTGGAACACAGTAATAGATGTAATAATAAAGACATGATGAATTAATGAATAATGATGGGGGAGAAGTGCTATTTCCCAGAAAGATACTTCAGTTTATATGTAGAAAAGCAAAAAGGTGTGAAACCATCTCAAATGCAAACTTTAGAGTTAGCAGCAAGGGAGAAATTATTTTTAAACCTAGAGGACTGAATTTCTCAATGCCAAGACCGGAAATCAGGGATGAGTCAAAGGAAATGCCCTCAGAAGTGCTGGCACACCCAAATAATCACTTGCACACTGTATCAATTACGACTGCATCTTTCCAAGGGCAAAGTAAATTGTTTAATGTTCAGATGTTTTCCTATAACACACGTGATGCAGTGATCTGCTTTAAATGTAGAAGTTAAACGATGCTGACCATGTCATTTTCGGTCTGCAGGAATAGATAATCTCTATGAGAGGGCGCTTCACATCCGCAAACTCCTCTTGACCTTGCCCAGGTCGGTCCTGATAGTGATGAGGTACCTCTTTGCCTTCCTCAATCAGTAAGTACACTAGTGCTCTGCCAGAATGCCCGTCTAAATTCTGTCTGTGTTCTTGGGTCCTGTCTGTCAGCAGTGGCACACTGGGTTCCATCTGTCAGCAGAGTCAAAGGAAAAAATGATTGACCGTGGACATTTTTTGACAAGGTACATTTTTTCCTCAGCAGAACAAGGTCTTTGTGTGATAGATGAAAGCATTACTCCAGATACACAAATGTGACTGTCCATAAATGCAAAAATACCCAAATGTTACTAAAAATAGTGCTTCCCAGTAAAATGTATGATTTTTTTTCATCTTCCATCCAAAGTTAATAAATGATGCAAGTCACTTTTTCATTGCAGCAAATTTCTATGATTTTAATGTTGTAGTTGAAATGCAGAGAAATCATAAATGAGATTTATACAGAGATCCAAAAATATTTTTCTGCAAATTCACCATGATAAAAAGAAAATATTTCTAAAATATTATCTAAAATGATACATCTTAAATGCACTGCATTTTTCTTAAAGAAAAATTTTACTGTTTGGGTTTAGGCAGTTTGATTTTTTAAATTGTGTTTCTTTCTGATATATGGGCTCCATTATGAGAACATCTTCCCCAAATCCTACCTAAGAGTCTCCTTGCCGTGCAACATTTCAGTTAAGCAGTTGGAAATAAAGAAATCGAAGGAGACAACAAATTGGAGAAGTGCCTTCTCAGATGGCTTGGATTTTCCCTTCCTAAATTTAGGTTATTTTCTCATCTCTGTTTCCCTGGTTTTGCATACTCAAACATCATGGAGATCTACTATAACCCTGCAGACTGGTGCTGAAAGTAACTTAGCCCCAACAAGCAAGCATCATACAGTGAGGAAATGGTGGCAGAAAACCAAACAGCATGGGGCTCTACTGTTCACCCTGTGCTGCCAAACTTTCCCAGATAGCCGTAGGAACCCATTTATACAGAATTCGCCACTGGAAATAAGTGGTATCTAGAAAGATAAGTGTAAACTGCTTAGTTACAAAGCTGCTATACATTTTTACCTTTAAATATGTCTAGTTGCTCAGAAGTTGTAAAGGTTCAGTAGCTTGCCTTTACCTTCGATTGCATGCGTTGACCCCCAAAACCCCACTGTGGTATCCTATGTTGCTGCTGGCTCTCTCCATGCTGTTCCTGCCATAGATCCCTGATGCACCCAAGTGAATGGACTGTGAACCAGTGTAACACAATGGATTAGAAAAACAACCTGTTAATTAGGCAAGTTCTAGAAACCTGAATATAATTCATTGATAATTTCAACAAAATGGTAAACATACCAGAAGTCAGACAGCTGGCATTGCTTCAATTGGTTCTGCTCAAAAATGTCTCCTGATGCTCTCACCTTCCCGCATACACAGACCCAGCCTCTAGGTCAGGAGATGGAACAGGAAGCTTGAAACAAGGTTGAGGGTCTAGAGATGCAGCACAATAGCAGAGCACTGGCCTACCATGTGGAAAGCCCTGCATTCAATCTCTAGCACTGAGATGAGGGAGAGGGAGTGATATTAGCTAGTTTTCATTGTAAAATTGAAACTTAGGAATAATGTTTTTCTATCAGAGCTTTTCTTTTCAAGCCAGCCCTGAATGAGTGACCTAGAAACATGAAGTGTGAGTCTCCCTGCCAAGCTCAAGTGTGTCTTGAAAATTGGATCGTTCTTATCCTGAATCTCGCTTCTCCCTCCTGCTCCCATTTTCAGGATCATCTGTAACACGATCATTTGTTATCATGAACTTTTTTGTAAGACTGCGTGTTTCAGAAATGGCAGAAGGGAGAGACATATGTTAGCTATGGAAATTATGCTTTTGTATTTTCTGCTTTCTAGACTATCCGATTTCTGAAAAGGGGTTAAATATCGAGCCAGGTGGTATCTCAGTTTCTTTGTGGCTGTCACCACAAAAGTAGCTGAATCTCCTTTTTTTTACTTCCATTTGTCATCTGTTCACCTGGATTTTACATTTCCTTTCAAGACTGACATTCTATACACTGAGAGATAACATTTCTGAACTCTCCCTAGAATAGTATACCCATGTGTTAGAAGCATTGCAAGAAAGAACTGGCTGATTTTGAATTGCCTACAAAAATATTTCCTAAATGTTCATTACATTGTGTTTAGAAGTTAGTAGCAGAGGGCTGGGGCTATGGCTCAGTGGCACAGTGTCTGCCTAGAAAGTATGAGGCCCTGAATTTGATTCCCAGTACCAAAAAAAAAAGTGATTAGTTGTAGGTAACTAGAAATCTCTCCCAAAGTTTGTCTGCCTTAAATAGAATGAAGTAACTGGTTTCTCCTCCCCATTTCTTGCACTGAGTGTCTTTTGTGACATAACCTAGTGTTGGTAGATTTACCCAAAAACAGGTAATAAAGCCTGAAATTGTTATCCATTCCCTTTCAATACTTACAAAGAAAATGACCTCTGTTTTCCTCTGAACTTTTTTCATGGCTTGTTAAAGAAAACTGAAATCTAAGGTATTTTTGAATGGTGCAAAAACAAATTTATCAAAGACGTTTGTATAGCTCTGTGGAAATTACACTGTATTTCCCAGAATTTGACTCTGACCATAAAATTTCCTAGTGATCCCGATCTCCATCAACGTGGCTCTTCTATCAACTCACAACTTAGAAAACACCACTTCATTAAGCAAAGAGCACCTGTATTCCCCTCTCAGTTTCTACTGAGTTGAAGATTCTAAGTCATTTTACTTTTTTTAGAGAGCCATCTCTAAGTGTTACCGAACAGGGATCCCTGTACAGTACAGGTCTGGGGCACACAGCAGTAGTTGAGGGGCAGGAAGCAAGTAAACCTTCATCTGTGGTTTTAGCCCCTCGCATGACTCCTATTACCGCCTGAGTTGTGTCTCTTATCAGGTCAATAGCCACATTCGATTCTCCCACCAGCATAAACCCTGCTGTGCGCTGCACAGGCCAGGGATCTAGGTCGCCCGCTTTTTAAAATCATTCTGAACCCTTCCCTGCAATCTACACACTTGCCAAAAAGTTTAGGAACCAGCAAGATAGTATATCATTTTATTCTTCTAGTAAAAATCGTGTTTTCAGAATATGAAATATTCTTAACATGTTTTCTTTTTTTTTTTTTCCTCTTGTTCTTTTACAATTTCTTTCTTGCTTCCTTTCGAAGTCTTTCCCAGTACAGCGATGAGAACATGATGGACCCTTACAACCTGGCCATTTGCTTTGGCCCCACACTGATGCCTGTCCCAGAAATACAGGACCAGGTGTCTTGCCAAGCACATGTGAACGAAATAGTAAAGACGATTATCATCCATCATGAGGCCATTTTCCCAGATTCTAAAGAACTGGATGGCCCAGTTTATGAAAAATGTATGGCTGGAGATGACTACTGGTGAGTCAAGAATTTTAGTTCTCTTTCTGCCAAAAAATAAAATATAAAATAAAATTGTTCATACACACATATCTATAACATAGAGGCACAAATACGAACTGAATTAGGAAAAAGAAGGGAGAAGTATCCATATGCCTTCAGTGCTTCCAGTTTAAAAAAAAAATCAGCAGCAGCAGCAGTAACATTTGAGACAAGGGAGCATGCTGAGATCCGTGGCAGCACAGGTATGCGGTTATGCAAACTCCTGTTCCTCACGCTTCTCTCCAAGGTTTGTGTCTGTTTAGATAAATCTACTTGCATGGCTTCTGTGGAGAATAAAGATTTTGATCATACAGATCTATATTAATTCTTACATAATTCCAGAAAAGATAAGCGGTTAACAGATTTTATTTCCCGTTCAAAATCAGATAGTTTTGATTCCATATAAAGTTAATATTCTCATTCTAAGAGAGCCCTATCAACCAAATGTATTTTATTCCTACCTATTTTCATTTTAACTTTTACTAATGAATATTATCTTGGCCAATATTATTATTATTGAAAAATTCATGATATCAATATTTTTAGGAATACAAATTTTTAAATATAGCAGATATTTACCTCCCATAGAAATCTAAAAATAGGAACACTATCTTCAGTTGAGTAATTTCACAGGTCAGAAACTTTAAAAAGTTTGGTTCACTATTCAATGTTTACTATGTGAATTTCAACCACTCTGAGAAATCATAGATTAAAAGAAGCTTCAATTTACCCTGGTACCGATGAAAAGATACAAAAAAAAAGAAAGAAGAAGAAGAAGAAGCTTCAATTCCTTGAGCCCCTGTTATGTGCTGGACACTCAGTGCACATTTTTTCTTTCATTTATCATAAGCATTCTGCCAAATAAGAAAAGCTAACGAGCCTGCTGGGTGATTAGTAGTAACTGGAGGCAGCCTCGGGTGTATTATGCCATTTTCTATTGCTATGATAGAATATTACAGTCTGGGTAACTTATTTTTAAAAAAACAAAATTTACATCTCACAGTTCTAGAGAGTGGGAAATCTAACACCAAGGTGCTGCCTTTGGCAAGGGCCATCTGGCTGTGTCATAACATGGTAGAAAGCTTCAGACACAAGAGCTAAGGAACAGGTGTGCTCAGGTCTCCCTGCCTCTTCTTAAAAAACTACTAATTCCAGCATGCCTCCCCATCACCTCATCACACCCTAGTTACCTCTCATAGTGCCACCTCCAAATGCCTTCAGCATGTGAGTTGGGGGATTAAGTTTCCAGCACAGGACCTATGAAGGTGCATTCACAGCATAGCCCCAGGTATGCCTGATTTGAAAGTCTACATAAGTCTTCCTCCTCAGAAGCCTCCCTGTGTACCTCAAAAACTGGCTGGGAAGCCAGGATTTGACAGCAGCTAGAAACAGACATGTCTAACTCCTTCGATCTGGATTCTGCTGACGATACTGTATTTCCCCATTTCCTTACAGAGGATTAAGTAGAAGTGGGACAAGAAGCTGATAGGTGGAAAAATACTTTTGTTTTATTTAAACCATAGTATGATGCTTAAGAAAACTGTTATGTATTTCCAGGAATATTGCTTTCCAAATTGACAAGAAAGGATGCTAGATTCAAGTTCTCTAGAGTATCCAGTAACTTTACACATGAAATTCAATTCAGAAATATTTACTGGAATACTCATCATGTCCAAGTTACTGACTAAAGCTTGGCTGTGGCAAGATAAATGAATAAAGCCCAGCCCTCCTGAGATACATAACTTTATTTTCATAATCATTTGTTTTAAGATTAGTGTTGGATGTGTGTTTAGCATCCTCAAATATTAGGGCTCTATTGGTAAGCTCTGCTGTCTTACTCATTTTGTCAAAGACCAAGCGAATTTTTGATCAATATTATTTGATGTGTTGTATTCTAGAACATTGTGTAGTTACAGTTTTTTCCAAATAGAGTAGAAAACTATATAATAGTCTTCTAGCCAGTAATAGTGTGTTCTTCTGCTTATACATAGTATTTTCTTTGAGTATTGCTCATTTTAAACAGAAGATCAATAATATAGTAGTTACCCTTGTCCCCTAACACCAGCATTATAAGTGAGTTTTTATAGTAGTGACAGGTTTGTATTTGTGACCAGTGCATTTTACCAGCATATATTTGAGGATAGATAATGGTAGTATTAAAGGTAAATTCTAAAAATAATGTGTCAGATGTAGAAATGAAATAAACACATATCAAGAAATGATTGAAAAGATGCTACAGTCAGTTCAAAAGAAAAACCAAAGAACCTTAACTTACATCTCATAAAAGAATGATGAATTAAATTCACAAAAACTGATCTGTTTGTAGATCAACAATCCAACATAGTCTATCTTAATTGAACTAGTTTGCATTTCTGTGGATAACAATGATTTGTAGTGCTACCAGTTTCCTGCAGGTTAGCCTCTTAATAGAACTTTTAGCAGAATTGTAAAATAACCTAGTCAAGTCTGTGAGAATAATGCCTATCCTCACAGAACAGAAAATCAAGGGAGAATATGTAGCTTCCTATCCTTGGATTATCCAGTAACTTTTTTTACCATTAAGAGTTTTAGATTTTTCCTTAAAGTAGCATTCATTCACTTTAGTTCTCTCCACCTTGGTTTACAAATTGACTTATAAGTTTCTACTTCTGCTATGCAGTGACAGCCCGTACAGTGAGCACGGTACGTTGGAGGAGGTGGACCAGGAGGCTGGTACAGAACCCCACACCAGTGAAGATGGTAGGACTTGTGCTCTTGCTATTATAAAACCAGTCTCCCTATCCTTTTCTTCCTTTTTTGACAATTCTTTATGTTGAAAACTCAGTAGATGCAAAAGGATGTTTGTAAAATGTGTATGAGGTATAAAGAATTAAATGAACGCCTACAAGTTTAAGGGAAAAAAATTACCTTTGTTGTGTTGCTGATCATTGTCCTTCTTACCTGCCTCTAGGGTAACCACTTCATGTTTGTGTTTATTAATAGTTTCTTGTTTTCTATCTTCCTGAACTTTCTATAAAGGGTCATCATATGTACATATATATATATATATATATATATATATATATATATGTTGATCACTTTTTCTATTCAATAGTATATTCCTGAAATTCACTCACACTGTTGCATTCAATTATAAGTGTTTGCTATACCACCGTTTAATATCCCCATCTATATGTCACTTCTATTCTTAATAAATATGAGAGGCATTTTCTGTTTTTTGCCAATAAGAACAGTGCTCCTATGCATCACTATGAACATTTTGCAACATCTCTTGATGGAAATATATGGCAGTTTTTCTAGAATTATACACTTAGGAGTACTTGTGTCTTCAATTTTACTATGCATTGCTACCCATTTTTGAAAATGGTGATAATAATATTCATGAACAATGAATCAGCTTTCTAATTATACAAGTTCAACAGTACTTTTGAAATATTTTAACCTCTGTTGAAGTTGTCCGTATGGAATGGGATATAGTATGATTTTAATTTGTACTTCTCTGATTCCTAATGAAGACCTTCTTTTACAATATAGCGTATAATGTGGTAATGCCAACAAGTTAGAAAACAGTTACCACTAAAGAGATAATTTGTTAGACTTCCCAAGATTAAGGAAAAAGCCACACTGTAGGAGACCACATAGGGGGTTCTTGAGGTCCACCAGGAGGCAAAATGACCAAAAGGAATTTATTGTGGTTTCACTGGGAAATAATAGTGAGGTAAGGTAAATTGGAGCAGAATTGGCTAGTTTGAATGATTTTCATGTGATCTGGGACATAGTACCACCTCAGATCGTTGCTGTGCGGCTCTAGGGTATTAGAGAAGAGGATAGCCTGGAGTGTGAGAGCCCAACAAAGATGGTGGTTGGAATGTTGGCTTTGGATTGGTTGGTTTGTATTTGAAAAGATTGCTGTGATGAGTTGTTACAATCTCTGGGAATTGGCCAACCCAATGGGAACAGTCCCTCCAGGATTTGGAATGCCCCCAAAGGATTGGTTAAAGAGAATAAAAGGCATGAGGAACATAGATGCACAGATTTTTATATTTTAGATTCTTCTTTTGTGAACTTCCTATCAAGCCTTTCGCCCATTTGTCTATTGAGCTTTCCTATTGGTTTGTTTGGTTTTGTTTAGCTTCGCATAGTTTGACTTTGATCTATCTCTCATCTGGCCTGACTGAAACGTTCTTTCTATGGATTAGAACTCCCCGTCTCTCCCCCTTCCAGCTCTTGGCAATCACTGTTTACCCTTTGATTCTACGAATTTGACTATTTCGGATACCTCATATATGTAGAGTCATGTAAGGTACTGGCCCATTTTACTTAGCAAAATGTTCTCTAGGTCCATGCTTCTTGTCACTTATTGAAGAACTTGCTTCTTTTTAAAGTCTGAATAGTATCGTATTGTATGTGTATATCATATGTCTTTATCCATTCATCTATCTCTGGAAATTTACATTATTTCTATGTCCTCTCTATTGCAGCACTATTCAAACCTTGTGTCTTTAAAAGTAAACCGACTTGAAATGTTCTGAACTTAAATTATAAGGCACTCTTTTTTAGGGGGTGGGGAGGGTACTGAGAATCGAACTCAGGACCTCGTGCTTTCCAGACAGGTACTGTGCCCCTGAGTTATATCCATGACCCATAAGACATTCTTTAAAGTGAGAACTTCCATTTCTATGGTGTTGCTTTGGAAAATTTCTGTGCCCTACCTATGCTACCATGTTTTCTCATAAATGGGCTTCTTTGTTCTCCATACAGTTCATTGCTTTTCTCTGCTGACTTCTCTAAGTGTGCATTTGTCATTTTTCCATCACTGGGACAAAATGTCTGACCTTCTGACCTCTGCAGCTTAATGGAAGAGAGATTTATTTTATCCCACAGTTTCAGTGGATTCAGTCCATGGTTAACTGGCTGCAAGGCAGAAATGGTATGGCAGAGAAAAGATGCACACTGCATGCCAACCAGCAAGCAAAATACAAAAGTAGGATCCAGAAACAAGAAAATACTCTTCCAGGTCACACCCCTAACAATTTACGTGTTCTGACCAGGCCCTGTCTCCAACTAACATAGTCAGCTATGATTTATCAGCAGACTAATCTGTAACTGTTTCCTTTCTTCCTTCAGGGGCAGGAAAAGCCAGGACAAAGCCTCAACCACCTCTTCTCCCAAACAGCTATCTCACCACTGTGCCCTGTGTCAGTTGTTCTTATCTCTAGACTAAGAGAGAAACTTTGTTGAGTACTCTGTTTTGTATCACTTTGATCATGTTCAGCTGATTTTGCTGGAAGAAAAGGGTTGGTTACAAAGGACAGATATCCTGTCACACAGCTAAACTCCAAAATCCTGTAACTAAATTAACTAGAATATTGACTCCCTTTTTGATCGTGGGATTTGCATTTCTTTTCTGTGTCCTCCATACAGTGGAAACAGCAGCTTTCATTTTCAAAAGACAGGCTGTCACAGAACAAAACCATCCTGTACAAGGGCAGGAGGTAATACATGTAGGACGGAAAATATCACAGAACTTAAGATTTCCAAGAGACATGCTGTACTATTTCATATAAAATTACAGGAAATATAAATTAAGACTTGATAGTACTATGCAGTCAGGATATGAGTTCTACTGAACTTTCTTCCTTTTTGCAAAAAATTCTAATAGCCATGATAAAAGCCCTACATCATCATGTTATACTCTTACTATTATTGGTATCAGCACTAGCAGCCTTCTATAAACTCTCTGGAGAATCTTAAGACTCTGGGTTGCTGTATATTAAAGGGGCATGGTGCATCATGCCCTGAGATTGATTTGCCATGCAATGCCTAGATATGTGTAAATAGCTTATTGATTGACACTTGACTATGAAATGGCTCTCAGGGGAGTAGAAAGAGCCAAAATTATAAAATTGCTCAGAATTACTAGTTGATATACTAGGATTGCCAATAAAATATTCTTTGGATTTATTTGGCCATTCTTTATAACCTGCCTACCTCTTAATAAAATAAACATAGTCAGATAATCCTCTGGCTAGTTATTTCAAAAAATAGTAATAAGCAAAAGAAATGATTATTGAAATCATGAGTAAGGAATTATGATAGTGCATACTGTTAAGTTGTCTTAACTAGTTCCTGACCAACATTAGCAGCACATGACTGAATGGCACTAAAGAAAATTTGTGATTCTATCTTCATTTCTCTTTGATTATGGGCTTATAAAAATAGATTGTGCCCCATATCATGTGTTGATGCCTTTTAATTTTTGTTTTATTAAAACCAAATACAGTGGTACCTCAGATCAGGAATTTGTTTTGTTCTATGAGTTTTAAAAACATGACTACGTTTGTATTAGTGCTAGAATAACAGCCACAGTCAGGTTTGTCACCCGATGTAGAATCTGCAAACAAAAACAAAATTTCACCAAATATTTTTGTTTACAAACCACATTGTTCACAAACAAACATGTTTGTGAACCCAGGTATCCTGTATGTGAATATCCAAGAATTTTGAAATTTTATTGTAAAGTTATTTTTAACAAGTTTTTCATTATTCCTTCTTCTGTCCTTTAGAAAGAACTGAAGCATAAATTTTGCTGTCATCTCAGATCAGTTAACGTTGCTTCTTTATCAGCAAATTTATCCCATCCTCTTTGAAGTGGACTTACAGAAGCAAACTGTCATTTGTATTCTTTTACTAAAACATGATAGTATCAGTGAAGAATACCAGAGTGTTATCATGTGGTCTAAAAGTTATACTCGTTGTTGAAAGACTTAAGCTGTATAATCCATGTATGCCAGATTGCAGTTTTTTTAATTCTTGTATGAAATTCATACGTTACCTAGAAAAAGTCAAGGAACAAGAATTTGAAGAGGAAAACAATGTGTTATGTCTATTGTTTTGGGTGTTCCAAAGGCAATGAGGGATTAAAAATTTATTCTTACATGTTTTACACTGCAGATTTTAATGTTTTGGTACTGCACTATGAAATACTACTTACCTCAAACATCATCCACTAGCAAAAAGATGGTGTATTTTTCTTTGCTTTTAAAATATTTTTGCTTAAATTTATCCAACCATTTTATATAAGGTAAAAACTAAGCCTTTCTATTTGTTAGTTTTATGTCTATAACCCAGAGAATCTTGAAGTTACCAAATAAGAAACAATACCTATCTACACAAGAATTCCTCATTCTGGTGTTATAATTTTAGATTGGCAGTGTCCCCCAAAACCTCATGCACTCATAGACAGGACTTTTGGAAGTTGATTGAATTATGAGGGCTATAGCTTATATCAATTTATATTCCCACCAACAGTGAAAAAGGATTCTTTTTGCCCCACAGCCCACCAGCACTATTGGTGGGAATATAAACTGATACAAGCAGTATGGAAATCAGTATAGAGATTCCTCAAAAATGTAGGACTAGTGGTCCCATTTGACCCAGCTATTACCTTTGTACATATCTTCCTAAAAGAGTTAAAAGCATCATACCACAGGGAATAATGCACACCCATGTTCACAGTGGCACAATTTGTAATAACTAAATTTTGGAATCAGTCCAAGTGACTATCAATGGATGAATGAATAAAGAAGATGTAGTGTTTTTATACAGTGGAGTACTACTCAGCTGAAAGAAGGATAAGCTTGAGATATTTCTAGCGAAGTGAGTGCACTTTGAGGTCATCCTCTTTAAGTGAAATAAATCAGACACACGTTTACATATCACATTGTTTCTCTGGGGTAAGAAACCGAAAATGTAAATAAGGATCCAAATGTATAATAGTTACAGGAAAATGGAAAGAAAATGTTCAAATGGGAAGGGGAACAAGGTCGGGGAGAAAGAAGAGAAAAAAGAGACTAGAAGGAATAAATGGAAACAAGGAGAAGAAGACAGGTTGAAGGGTAGAGAGGGGACTGGGAGGAAAAAAGAAGAATCGAGATACATTATGCAGCTGGAGGTGGTGGCACGAATTTGTAATCCTAGCACTCTGGAGGCCAGCCTGACCTGCATAGCAAAACTCTCTGTTAAAAAAAGAATGTACTCGTATAAATTTCTTGCGATGATTGTGATCATTGTATACAATGTACCAATAAAAAATTAAAATCAGTGTGAAAAACATATTGAAATATGAAGCACTAAGTGCAAAAAACAGGTATTGAAGATATTGCAGTAAACTTTGGGGAGAATAAAATTTTAAAATAGGAATATTTGTTACCAAAGGAAATAAAAAACAATTTTCTGAAAAACTTTTGATAGGTTTTAGTCTCTTATATTGTACATATTCAAGAGTATTTTGAAATTAGTATATGCCCAGATTTTAGCAAGTTTGAGCAGTTTACTCACGTATGTTGACAGCACAGATAAAGTTGTGTTGGTGGGTGAGGAAAGGAATCATTGCTTTTATTAAGGATTTTCTTATAGTAAGCTGAATCACAAAAAACATCTCTTATGATACTTCACTCTGTCCTCTTAGTTGCCTTCCATATTTGATCACAATTAAATCAGTGAATTTCCAGCTCCAGGCTTAGAGTTCAATGTATTATATTTTTTTAGCTTTTTATTAAGATCATTGTACATCTGCATGCACTTACAAAAAACAGTACAGAAAGATCCAAAACCCTTCTTGGTGATAATGTCTTACAGAAATGTAGTGCGATACCATGACTCGGAAACTGCTAATACAGTCCATCTATCGTAGACACATTTCATCAGCTTTACATGCACTCGTTATGTTTACTTTACAGTTTTATCGCATGTACAGATTTGTGTCACCACACTCATAGTTAAGATAAAGAACAGCTCCATTGCAAGGATTCCTTACAGTACCATTTACAGCCTGTCAATTCCTTTATCATCTTCCCAACCACAACCCCTGCCAACCACGTATCTGTCCTCCAATTCTATATTTATGTCATTAGAAAAATGCTACTTAAGGGAATTTATGCAGTATCTACACTTTTGAGATTTGACTCTTTCACTTGCTCTTTTTATCTTGAGTATCTTTTAATGAATACGAAACATCATTTTTAATCTGATCTTTTAATTTCAGTAGAGGACAGTCTAAGGTATTCTTGTTTCATAATTAAGATCAAAAATTTGTTATTGAGGCAAAAGAAAAGTTGTCATTACTTTTGCCAGTAGCTTGATGGTTCTATAGTGCAAAAAAATTAGGAAATTAGAGGTATTCAAATAGTATTATTTGGTAATTTTACTTGATTTTTTAAAAATAAGCTAATAAAGTATAAACATCCTAGTGTTTTCTGGGATGTTGCTTTTCATATGCTGTAAACCATAATAACATGTTACAAAGGAACTCTGTCAACGTCAAAAAATATTGGAGCAACTGTGGAGGATATTATAATCAAGGAGGGATTTTATGTATCATATTCCAGAGTTGACATATTTTTATTAGACTGTTGTCATATCTCTGGTGAGAAACTGGAAATGAAAATATAATGTTCAATTTTTCTTTGCCTGAAAATCTGGTGACAGAGAATGTTTTTCAGTATCTCTTTTAACTGCCGGTTTCCTCCTCTTTTATGATGTTTGTTTTGTTTTGTTTTTGTTGCTCTGGTCAGTCTGGTATCAATATGGCCTATTTGTTTCCAAAGCCTCATGTTTTCAGGGAGTGTGTCTTGCCTGTCTGACAACCTTTTCCCTTTCCCTGTTCTGGTCTGTTCTTGCAGAATGTGAGCCAATAGAAGCAATAGCCAAGTTTGACTACGTTGGGCGGTCTGCCCGAGAACTGTCCTTCAAGAAGGGCGCCTCCCTGCTGCTGTATCACCGTGCATCTGAGGACTGGTGGGAAGGCAGACACAATGGGATTGACGGGCTGGTGCCGCACCAGTACATCGTGGTGCAGGATATGTGAGTAGTCCCAGTAGTGGGTTGCCTGGGTGCTCTCAGTAGAGGATGCTACCTGTTCTTCAATGGACACTTTCCAGAAAAGAGCAAAAGAGGTTACAAAGAGAAAACTGAGCTGGACTCAGTTCTTCCCCTTCTCCTGGCTTTGTGTGAACAGTACTTCAGGACCAGCAGGGAGTCATTGCCCAAACTCTGCCAGGACAGTGGGAGACATGTTGTGGCACTTCCATAGGAGAAAGCTCATGTGCAGAGTGTGTGTCTGACAGCTGAAGTGACACTGGCAGTTGTGCAAACAGCAGCTCTCTCCTCTTGATGACTATTTTTTCATTCTCAGGTTCTCAAGAGAGAGGATGCTAACTTACAGTCTAAGGCAATCACCTCTAAGATTTTTGCTGTTGTCTTAAGTATGCTAAGAAAACTCTGATATCAGAAATACTTAAGGATATGGGAAAATGGCCATAATATATTAAGTGAAAGAAATAGGTTACAACATGATATATACTGTATAATCCTTATTTTCTGAGTTATTAGTGTGTTGCCAATCTAAGAATAACTTTTCAAGAGAAAAAAATATATAAAATGTATGAAAGTATTTAATGGTTTAGCATAATTTTAGAAATATTAAAATGAGTAGATCAGAGTCTAGGAAATGTTATGATATATGTGAACATGTAGTCATATATATCTAAACTACCTAAATTATAGATAACCAGAGTATAAATATTATATGCACACAATCATATATATGTATTCCAAGCATAGGAAAAAATTCCAACAACAGTTGTCTCTCACTATTATGGATGATTATTATTTTATTCTTTTTGCATATTTGAAATTTTCAATTTGCCTGCAACAAAATTGAGTAATTTTTAGATAAGTATATTAATTTAAAAAATAAAAACTGGACATAGTGTTGCACTTCTGTAATCCCAGCACTTGGAAGGCCAAGGAGGCAGAGCGTTGCAAGTTCGCGACCAGCCAGGGCTACAAAGTAAGCCCAAGGCCAGCCTGAACTGCACAGTGAGACCCTGTCTCAAAAAAATACATATATACATAAGTGCCAGGCCTTTTTTTTTTTTTTTTTTTTTTTTTTTGCTTTTATTCATCTAGCAAAAGAATTCACTTTTGTTTTTCAGGGTTGTTGTTTTGGGGGCTTTTAGTACCAGGAATTGAACTCAGGACCTCACGCTTACCAGATAGGCGCTGTGCACTGAGCTATATCCCCAGCCCCTAGACCCTCACTTTTGATTCTCACTGTTTCAGGGATGACACGTTTTCTGACACTCTGAGCCAAAAAGCTGACAGTGAGGCCAGCAGTGGCCCGGTCACTGAAGACAAGTCCTCATCCAAGGACATGAACTCGCCCACAGACCGCCATTCTGATGGCTATTTAGCCAGGTAAGTGAAGGCTGGTAACCATGCTCGCAGGCCTCTGCTTCTCCAAGGGCTCTGAGGAGCCCCATACCTCCGCCTTGCCATACTGCTCAGTGTGACAAGCTCTCCTATTTTCTCTCTTTATTTCTGTGGATGTCTAGACAAAGAAAAAGAGGAGAGCCACCCCCTCCACTAAGGCGTCCTGGCAGGACCAGTGATGGCCATTGTCCCCTCCATCCCCCACATGCTCTTTCGAACTCCTCAGTTGACCTGGGGTCCCCCAACCTGGCCAGTCAGCGTGGCCTGCTGCAGAACCGTGGCCTCAATAACGACAGTCCAGAGAGGAGGCGCCGGCCCGGCCATGGAAGCCTGACCAATATCAGCCGGCACGACTCCCTCAAGAAGATTGACAGTCCTCCTATCAGAAGGTCCACGTCATCAGGGCAGTACACAGGCTTCAATGACCACAAGCCACTGGACCCAGAGACAATTGCTCAGGTACAATGCTTTTAATGGAATATTGCATTTTAAATATCTCCACATGACAAAGGTGACATGAAAGATTTACAGTCTACAGCTATGTTTTTTGGGGGTTTTTTTGTACCGGGATCATACTCATGACTGCATACTTGCAAGGCGCTTATGCTGCTGAACTAAATCCCCAGCCCTACAGCTATGTTTTTGTAGAGAGCCAACTAAATAAAACACAAAGGAAATTAGCTCATTCTGTAATTTAAGACCCAGCTGTTAAGTCATATTTGAAGAACTATTTGTTATTTGAAGGACCCCAGCACATATGCTGGTTCATATCTGTTTTTATATTCATTTAAACAGAGACATGGGATGTAGGAATTGGGGGCATTTCAAACCCATCTCTGATGAATACCCAGGAAATTTTTGAAAAAAAAAAAAAAAAAAAAAACAAGAATGAAAAAAGACTAACGCTAGCAGATTCTAAATAAATTCCAAAGCTGGGACAGGGGATCAATACATGGAACACAGTAGAAAGTCCAGAAAGAGAATGATAAAGATGACACTGTGACTTAGGGAATGGAATGATGCGTTAGCCAGTAAATAATGTGATTAATAATAGTTACCATTTGAAGAGCAGCAGAACTGTATCCTGGATATCTTTTGAACACACACATCTTAACTTCGCAATACTGACCGTAGAAAAGGGCACTGTAATTTGTTTCTAATACTTAGACTTGTCAAAGTAAAACAGTAGTAATGTAAGTCCATTGTTCTATCATTTTGCCCTCTGGTTTTTTTTTATGTAGCATAAGCTATCAGAAAATATATTCATGGCTAATACCAGAGGAGGTAAGTTGATGCTGGGTTCAACATTTGAGCAGTCTGAAGCATCTCCCATTCACTCAAGCTTGAAAACTACCAAAATGGATTTTTTTATAGAGAGGATAAATGAGAACTGAATGAAACAAACCTGAGATGAATTACTCTTAATAAAAAGTACCCAAGGAAACCTGCCCTGACATGACATATCTCTAAGCTATTTTGAGTGTCCTAATGAAAAAGATTTCGGATAGCAAATTACAAGTAGATTGTGTGAGGAGTTTAATGTGTTTTTCAAAAATTAAATGAATTTTAAGTGTGCAGCAAGTTTCTCAGCAAGAAACAAAAAGGCTTTTGACCTTTTTGCTTTTTTCTATTAAAGTGCTATGTAAGCCCTTTGAGACAAATTTAGAACCAGTGATACAGCAGAGCTCAATGATTTGAGAATCCATAACCTCATGATGTAAAATAAGCAAGTGAAACATCACTTGCATTAGAGAGGTATTTAGGAACTTGGGTTTAGAAAGACATAAGTTCTATTTAGTGCTTTTGTTTCTAGAACCAAGAAATTCTTTTATTATAGATCATAAAAATTCAATAGCTAAAACAGGCTCTACACATACTCTCTGGGGAAGACACTTATAAAACTATCCATATGTTCAGCAGCAAATGGAAATCGCATATGAAAGTAATCATTTAAAAAGTGATGTCACCCTCACAAAATACCTCCCAACTTTGTCCTATGTTTATCTTTCCATCTCTAGTCTTCAGATTTTCCCATAAAGGCAAGAAAGTATGTCATCATGGTTTGCATTCAAAAATATGCAAATTCTTTTATCAAACAAATCAGTTGAATCCCTAGTGGAGATTTTTTTGAAGGACGCATTACCCATATGTGATCATCATGTTCTAATTTATTCATTGTCAGAGACTAACTTTATATCATATCTGCCTTATTCATTTAACAAACTTATCATTTAGTGTATACCAGGTCCTGTGACAGGTTTTTTAGCAAAAATAGTTAAAAAGTGACTGCATTCCAGCCTGCATAACCATCAGTAGACATTTGTATAAAGAAAATTTGCTATGTATATATAATGTAATACTATTCAGCTATAAAGAATGACAAGTTTGACACATAGGAAAATGGATGCACCTGGAAAATACAATGTCAAGTGAAATGAACCAGACAGATACACAAGCTTAGATACCATGTGGTATCTCTCATTTGAGGAAGACAAAGTACAAGCAAAGAAAATGATAAAGGAAAGTTAGAAAAAGTAAAAGGGATAGATCTCTTGCAACAGAGAAGCAGTCCAAGTGAACAAGAGTGAGGAGGAGGAGAAGGGGAAATGAGAGGAATAAAGCTGTGTGGTGTATGGAAATCTAATAACCCCAATTAATGTAAAACATCAGATGCCATAACATGAGCTAAGACACATAATATCAACAAGTACAGAAAAGGGGATAGGGGATGAGAGGAGGAGTGGGGAGAGGGAGAGAAAAAATGGGGGATTAAAAAAAGTAACAAGTACATGTAACCAGTCCCTGAGATGATTGTAAATTGTGTGAACTGCAACATGTACTCTTAAAAATGTTTTTAAAGTAGCTGCTTCCTCAAAGTGTTTGCAGTATAGTGGGGGAGAAGGATGTAGGAATCAATTACTGTTGTGCAGTGGTAGACCAATTATGCTCCAGGAAGTAGAAGAAATCCTAGGGACGTAGAGAAGAGACATTAAATCATCCAAGGGCAGGTTTTCTACCCCATCTCATGTAAAACTCTGCTTCTTTTATTGTGACTTATAAAAATCGTTTTAAAATTTGTCATCTTAATTATTTTGAAGTATATAGTTCAATAACAATATAGTTCAGCTGGGTATAGTGCCACCTTTCTGTAATCCCAGCACTTGGGAGGCTGAGACAAGAGGAAAGCTATGAGTTTAAGATCAGCCTGCATCACATAACCATATCCTGTCTCAAAAAAAAAAAAATACACATTCTTATGAAACATCTCTCCAGAACTTTTTCATCTTACAAATCTAAACTCTACTCATTAAACAGTTCCCCATTTTCCTCTGTCCAATCCCTAGCAATTACCGCCCTAGTCACCTTAGTGTCTGTTTCTTTCTTTCTTTTTTTTTTTTTTTTTTTTTTTTTTTTTTTACTGGTACTAGGGATGGAACTCACTGCCTGCTTGCAAGGCAGATGCTTATGCCGCTGAGCTAAATCCCCAGCCCCCCTAGTGTCTGTTTCTATGAATTTGACTTCAAATTTTGTGTATAAAAGGGATCATTTGTATGCAAGATTTGTATTATTTGTCACTGGCTTATTTAATTTAGCATAATGTCTTTAAGGCACACCCATGTTACATGACAAGATTTCCTTTTATAAGGCTAAGTGATATTCCATTGTATTTAGAGACCATATTTTACCCAGTTATTCACTGATGGTGCACACTTCACCCTTTTAGGACAGATATTTTGTAATTCCCCCTTTATGATCTGAAATAAATAATTGGTGGCATATCTAATTTGAAAGATAAAGTTCTAAATATAGCATAAAATAAAAGAAATTTAAATAATTCAGTATATTTCAGTTAATTGTTTAATTTTTTTCTTTTTCATGGGGTACAATGTAATAATTTGATACACATATATAATATGTACTAATCAAATAAGGGTAATTAGTATTTTCATCTTTTTATTTTAAAGAGGGTAAAATTAAACACAACAAAACAGAATATAAGAAAGCAATTGTAAGAGACATAAATTTCAAAGCAATACAACTAAAGATCTTCACTATCTATCATATTATCTCTTGTTTTCTTCCAAATAGTTGTCCATTTCTTCATATACAGAAAACTAACATGAACCAACGTAGTATACAACTGATCTGAACAAGATGAGGAAGGCATTTTAGGTCTTCAAAACAGATAAGAGGGAAGTCAACAATGATTGTCATAGTGTCTCTCATTCTCTTCAAAATAGTTGTCCACACTTCATGTACATTAAAATTAAACAAAACAAAACATACTAAAATCACTCTGAACAAAGAATAATAGTATTGTTGGATTTTACCTCATCATGCTACAAGATCAGCACTGGGTACTGTAGTGTCTCTTTTTCTTCAAAGTAATTGTTCATTTCATCGTGCATTATATAATCAGTTCTCATAAACTGTTTATATGTTCTACGCATGCATGAGTTTCTACATGTATGTCTATCCTTTCTGTATTGGAGGGGAAAACAAAACAAATTCCTGTAAAAATATGAAACAAAAAAGTCATATAAAACTGCAATACAAGGTGATCTACAATGGTTACTATGATGTCTCTTGTTATCTTTAATAGAATTGTCTATATCATCAGGCATATTATAATTGAATATAGCAGGACATAACAGTTTAATAACACAAAATGTTGGAGATATTATAAGACTTCAAAAGCAGGTAGTAATCAAACCAGAGCGGGTATCCTAGTGAATCTTGTCATCTTCCATGTAGTTAACTATACTCTGATTTGATACTATCAGTCATAACAGATTCAAATAAAATCAGTCAATACAAAGCAGCAGTCTAACAAACCAGATTCAAATAAGATCAGTCATAATAAGACAGTGTAAGTCATACAGGGCTTCAGTTTAAGTTAATAGGAAATTAAGGATGATTACCATACTATATCCTGCCACTTTCAGGATACTGTCTGTGGCCTCAAATCTAGTACAAGTAGACAAATTGGAACAGAATATAATCCATCTAAACAGAGCGGTGAGAGCACTGTGGATTTGAAATCCTGATACACTATTAACAATATTGTCTGCCTTCCTTTTTTAGACAGTTCTTCCCTCTCACTCCCATAGGATACATTGCACATTTTAGGTCCCACCAACTCCCTCAAATTTTAGATTGGGGAGGCAACCTGCTATTTATCTCAGTGGTTCTAAATCTTCTCACTCCTGGACTTGATCTCCAGTTGTATTCCTTTACCTAAAAAAGCCTCAAGGTTTTCCTTCATTATAGCTGAGTAGTTCTCTACTGCACATAAATTTCATGTCTTTCCAATCTATCTGCAGGTGCTGGACGAGTTGCCTCTATTTCTCTCCCGTTCCCTGTCACATATAGCATTTTTCTCATATTTGATTTTTGGTACATAAACCCTTTTTTCAGGTTAATTATATTTCTTATATAGAGCATCTTGATAGACCCTA